CCGGCATTTTCACTTTTAGCTCCAACCTCCATCTTTCCAATAGCTTTTTAACCTTGTTAAAAAAATAGCTTTTCTTAATTAAAAAAATTATATATATAATATATATATATCTCTGAGCAGACAGCAGTGTTCTGCCCAGTTCACAGAACTGGAGGCTGAGATCAGAAAGGTACTTTCTCTCCTTTTAGCCTTATTCAACCGTTGTGGTGACAATCTTCCAAACAAACAAACCAACAAAAAAAGAAATAAAATAAAATAAAAAGGAAGAAAGATATTTAGCAGATGAGTTTTGCCTATAACAAGCCTTTCTAGTACTATCAGCACAGACCCACTGCTGACAAATTTGAATAGTGCAAACTAGTTAGGGGCAGTGGGAATGTGCTGAAAAATATCCATTAAGGTCTGACAACTTTTTAAGACCCTCAGAGTTTCTATTAGCTGGAGTCTTCCCGCCTGCCCCCAGGAGACCTGGATTTAACCAGGGGATGAGGAAAAGAAGGGGCATTTGTACGTTTGACGTAGATGTTCCCCTTCCCCCAGAGCTGCCCCACCTGTCCTTCAATCAATCCATCGCATCCAAGCTCAGAGGAAGCCGATTTCTTTGCTGAGGTTCCAGGCTGCAAGACAGAGTTAAGGTCGAAAGGTGGAGAACAATGAAGGGTCCGATGTCCTAGCTCAGGAGACTGGTAATTGTCCCATTGCTTGGAGATCCCTTTTCTGAAGTGCCCAAGACCAGTGGAAGAACGTGGTTTTGCCAGACCGGAGTGATTTGTGGTGGGTAAGAAAGGACAGGTACCGCATTTAGGACTCTCTCTTCCCACACACATTTCTATCTCCCAGCTTAGGCCTGGGAAACAACTGCCAGGTTCAAATGCACCTTCTGAAGTTGGCTACGACAGGGGTAATACTGGCTACAGCCCCTTTTTGCAAGCTGAAATTTTAGCCTTTGGAAATCTTGGAAGGAAAGAGCAAGGAGCAGGAGTGTGCTTTTCACGTGAAAAGTACAGCACCGAACCGACAGCAGCTGGCAGAGCAGATGTGGCAATGTCCTTTGAAGAAGTAGGTGGCTTTCACCTCCTCCCCAAGCACCAGTCCTTACCCATCGCTCCACCGCTCGTGTCTTTTCAGGCTGGGTTTGCATCCAGCTGAGGAGCTGGGGCTTCATATGACGGCTATAGAGAGAAGAGCATCCCAAGAGCCCAGCAGATGAAAAGCAGGTGAGAAATCTCAGCTACAGAACTTCTTCTTAACCTCCCCATCCGGGCGGAGCAGACCACATAGGCACTGCCACCAGGTCCCACTTCCCCAGCTGTGTCACATCCAGTGCTGCCTCCGCGGGCACTGCCAGATTCCTCTGCACTGTGCAGAAAGGAGTCCTCAGCAGAGGGGCCTCCCTCCACCAAGGTCTTGGCCAAGGATGCTCGATGGTTTCTACGCCTTGGCCTGGGGGCTACACACACACGTGAACATACGCTTGCACTCACGGCAGGGAGTGCAGGAGACTGGCAGGCATCTGGTGTTAACTTTCTCCTCCACTCTGCGTGGAAACACACCTTCACTTTGAGCATGTGTGGCATGGACCAGGGCGGCAGGCAGCCCCCCACCTTCGCTCCTCCCGATACCAGGGCTTGGTCAGAGACGTACTGTCTTCCAAAGCACTTCTTGGCATTGCCCAGCGGCAGGAAATGCTTCTTGGAAGCCTTGTGCTCATTGCTCTAACAGTATCAAAGTTGACTGTGGAAAGCCACATTCCCCTGGCTGAGAGGAGTTGGCTGCTGGTTTGTTCAGGGTGAGGGGGGAGCTTAGCCCTTGTCCTGGGTAAGAGGAGCTCCCTTTTCATTCATGCTCTTTAAAAAACAAACAGAAAAAGAGACGCAGAGGAGACAGGTATCAGTACTGGACGGGCAGCAACACGAAGGGGCAGAAGCAGAGAGCCCTGCTGTGCTGCGGACCTGGCCCTGCTCACCGCGACCTCTCAGGCTCCTCCGAGATCAACGGAGACCCGGGAGCCCCAGGTTTCCCCTCTGCCCAGTTCAGGCTGAACTGGCCCCTCAACCCTGGCCTTTGGCTCCTAAATGTCTCCAACCAGGGCTGGACCTTCTGGGTACAGGAATAGGCCAGGGGGAGGATGGAGGAGATGAAAGTATCACACCATCAGTCCCTAGACACTGGTGTTCCAGTACAAGGCTGCTTTACAGAGAGGCTGTAAACCTCTTCGCAACCTCTCCTCTTGGGTGCAAGATTCCTTCTAAACCCTGGTTTCAACATGCAGCCACCTTCGTATTTCATCACGAGGCTCCAATAGGGCCAGCACTGCCAGGGGCACATTGTCCCATCCAAGTCTTAGGGTTAACGGAGACAAATCTACGGCCTGTCTCTGCCTTGCTTCTGCAGCAGGTCTGGTGTGTGTCTGCACACACACATGGAAGGGCACCTTGGGAGCCTCTGTGCCTACCCACGACCCTGTCTGGGCCCTACAGAAGTCCTTGGAGGTAGGATCAGGACGTGACACTGGCTAGTCAGGGATGCAGCAAAGCCAGTGGAGCATTCTGGCTCTGTTGCCTAAGCGGTGCCCTTGCTCCCCCAAGTTAACTGTAGCGCAGACTGTCTCTCCCCGGGTCTGTACAGCACCTAGCACCACGAGCTCAGTGGGGTTAGGGTAGTGCTAGCAGCATACGCACCGTTCCTTTCGGGGTGTTGCCATCAGCCTGCAGGTTGAGAAACGGGTTAGTCTGTGCTGTAAGGACGGGAGGGATGCCTGTCCCCGAAGCCAGGAGGCTGTTCCCAGGAGTGCTGAGCGGTGGGGTGGCCTGGGTGGCCATGAGGGCATTGCTAGGGTTGAGCTGCTGCGGGGAGAGGGAGGCCAGGAGAGAGCTGCTGCTGGGGGGCGGCTGAGGGGCCGAGGTCATCAGGGCGCTGGTGCTGGAGTGCAGGGGGGCGGAGGTGGCTGCCAGGAGGCTGGTCATGGACAGCTGGGACGAGCTTGTCATCTGCAGCCGCTGCAGCTCCCTCTTCTGCTGGATTTGCTGCATCATCTGGAACACCAGGGCCTGCTGCTCCTGCAGGGAAGGGTGAGGAAGAAAAGTCAAAGGAGGGACAAAGGGGTCAGGAGGAGGTGACACCTAATACAACGGAGCCAGGAGCCACATCGGCACACTCCATCCCAGGCAATGCTACTGGGGACAGGTAGAAAGTCCCCTTGATCGTGTGTCTATAGGTAGAGAGAGGAACAGCCTGTCTTGTGTTCATTAACAGCCTGTGCCTATGACCTTTCCAACCCCATTGTTTCCTGAAGCGTACGATTAGCTAACCCTCCCTAAGACACCTGCAGGCACACAAATCAGCTCTTTCCAATCAATCGACCCACGGATTTTAAGTCTGTGGCATTCACTATCCTGAATTTCTAGACTGGCTGCTAATTTCCTTCCCCAGCCCATCCCACTTCACAGCTCAGCCCTGACCCACAGGGTCGGTGTAGGTGAGCCGGGCCCAGGGGGGACAAGGGCCACGGCTCACCTGCACCCAGAGGGGCGGCCTCGAATCCAGCCAAACTGCGGAAATCACTATAGCAACCATCGACCAATGCGGCAGGCTGAGAGCTGACATTGTTCCTGTACCCACAGAGATGCAGCTGATGACACGGTGACATCAGCTGCTGTAAAGAGAAGCCCTTTGAAATTTGCTTTTCCCAGGTTATAAATAGCCTGACCCAGAAATCTATCCAAAGCAACGGGCCAAGTTCATGGGAGATAAATGAGCACAGCTTCATTGACAGAACTGTTAGCACTCCTGTGCAACTCCACCGCAGGGGAGGGACACCACAGAGGTTTCTGCAGGGCAAGTGAATGCTGTTCTTACACACCCAGGGGCTTGTTTACCATCTATCTGCGCAGCCATTCCCACAACAGCCTGGGACGGGGCTGCTGTTTTACCCAAGAGGATGCAGGCAGAGAGCCAAGATCCTCAGAACAGCTGCCTGATCCTTTTTCTGACCCTGAAGTCCTCAGCCACCTACACAGTCCCCCTGGCATCTCCAGTTCTCCACGTCAATGTGCCCAGACACGGCTCACCTGCCTCAGGTCTAAGCAATTTCATGCTTGTCTCTTTCTAAACTCAAGTGCTGTCCTCAAGCGAGTTCCTCTTCTCCTGTGGGCCTTAGCACATCTGCAAGCCCAGAGACAGACCAGTGTGCTCGTGGCAGCAGGAGCAGACACGATTTGCATTCAAAGATGGCTGGAGGAGGTAACAGCACTCCTGATTTTACGGTGGCTTAGCATTGTTACCATGTTCTCACACCCTCAGGACATGGGAAACCCAGATTAAATTTTTTCCTTTGTACAAAAAAGTTCAAATCCCCATCTCCCTCCCTCCAGGAGGTGCCACACCTTCCTGCCTAAAGCTTTTCTCCTCACTCCACCCACAGCAGCCCGGAGCCAAGTAAAAGGCACATGACTCTTGCAGCCTGTGGGCAGGGGATTCACGTGAAGGAGGGAGCCCTAAGTTTTGCTCTCTGCTCTGAGGCTTTCCCATTAAACAGCTCATCAGATAAAAGGTGCCAGCAGGCACACTTACTGGATTAAGCGGCTGGGAAGTCAGGAGCTGCTGAAGCTGCTGGAGCTGTTGTTCGTGTTGGTGCAAGATGTGCCGCTGCTGCTCTGTCAGGGGACTCAGGCTGGGCATGCTGCAAGGGGAGCAGGGCAGGGAATGTCAGCGCAGCCCGTCTTGGTCCTGCACACATAGGGCCTCCCTCCCTCCCGGTGCTAAGCTTCTGCTGGAGAGGGCAGGGCTGTCCCCGCGAGCTCCCCATCCTCACCTGCTCAGGCTGGTGGAGAGCTGCAAGGTCGGAGGCCCGCTCGCCTGCGTCAGCGCGCTCGGAGGCTGGGCGGCCTGAGCTCCGTTCAGATTCCCCAGGATCCCGTTGATGGGCATCTGCTGGCCTCCTGCCAGGGTCCCCATCAGGCCGTCCACCATGGGCACCGTGGAGAGGCTGTGGCTGGCAGTGGTGCCTCCCCCCAGCCCGCTGCCTGCCACCCTGGCCAGGCCATTCACCTGCTGCACCCCGGGCAGGGGTAGCGAGGCAGGACTCTGCTGCAGCATGGGCAGGGGCGGAGGAGTGCTGTGGAAGGACAGGGAAGAGCTGCTCCTGCTGGGGCAACCTGAATGAGGGTCCTGGGGGAGAAACGGACATAAGAGCATCGGACTGGGGCAGCTTGTGAAAGGTCAGCTCAGCTCCAAGGGTGCTTTGGGCAGGAGCTGGAGGTGGGAAGGGGGGCTGTGAGTGCAAGTGCAGGTGTATGCTCAGAGGGGTCCCAGAACTCAGACAAGCTTTGCTGGATCTCTAGAAGTGCGGCCAGAATAATCCAGAAGCATTCTCACCTCACGCTCCCAGCCTCAGCTACTCTACTCAGACCCTCAGCACTGAGATGAACTGAAGAACGGCACTCCAGAGAAAGAAACCTGATTTCTGGGCCTGGACTACAGGGCTTTATGAGCTGGATATCAAGTCAGAGTACTGGGACTGCACTGCTCTGTTCCCTCCCCAAGTCCCTTCCCCAGCTGGCTGGCGGATGCGGTGGCCAGTGTACCTCAGAGGACGTGGAGAGCGAGTTCTCGATCCCAAAGCTGTTCTTGCACGGGGGGCTCTTGCTGATGCTCAAGGAATCGTTGTTGCAGACTGTATGGAGGAAAGAAGTGACAATGCAGAGTCAGGGGTGGAGCGTGACGTTGCCACAGCAGTAGCGAGAGACAGTGCATACTGCCAGTGGCTACAGAGAGAGAAATGGGTCAGATCCTCCCCACTGTGACCCCCTCCTGCCCAGCCCAGGGCACCACTATGAAAGGGCATAGGGTGATGCATCCCACCAGTCCCCTCACCATTAGGAGGCAGGATGTACTGGGCCTGGCTGCCTGGGCCATTGCTGCTGGTCACCACAGGGAAAGGGACGGAGAGCTGGACATTGAGGAGCTGCAAACGCTCCTTCTTGGCTGTCAGCGTCATGATCTGCTCCTGGAGCCGCTGGTTCTCCTTCTGCAGCGAGTGCAGGGCTTTGAGCATTTCTACAACTGCAGGGAACGGAAGGGGGGAAGGGGGACAGGGTCAGGGGAGAGAATGGGGGACGGAGGAAAGAGAAGGGGATCCACAGGAGGTACCACAATTAGACCACACTGGGGGAGGAGACTGGCCCTAGATCACAGTCCCCCTGCCAGCTACTCCCCCATGGCACAGACTAGTGCTTTGTCCCCCACCCGGCTCCTTTGCCTGTGGGCAAAATCCCAGCTGGCTCCCACACAAACATGCACAAGGACCTCTCCTCCCACAGCCCATACCCTGAGTGACTCACTGTTTACGCCGGCTTCGCCATTGCCCTGCTTCTCCAGGAGCTGCTCGATGTTTGGGGTAGCCTGGGGAACATTCTCCAGCTGCCCACTGCTGCTGCAGGACACT